CACACATGGCCACACATGGCCACATGCACACGTAAGAACATGGCAGCATGCACACATGGAACATGGCAACATGTGAACATGGCAAAATCAGCACATGACAACTTCACCACATGGCCCACACGGGCAACTTCACCACATGACAACTTCACCACATGACAACTTCACCACATGACAACTTCACCACATGACAACTTCACCACATGACAACTTCACCACATGACAACTTCACCACATGACAACTTCACCACATGACAACTTCACCACATGACAGCATCAATACAAGACAACATGAACACATGAGCACAGATGCGAGCGAGTGCGGGTGCAGTTGCACCGCTTATAACCCAGTTGCACCCACCCTCTTGTTGGCAACACAGACCTTACCTATTGCTGGTTAGCGGAAACATGACATGCCTGCAGGTAGGGCTGGTTGGAGAGCGCCTGCACAGGCAGCGACCTCGGCTGCAACAGACACGTTGTAGGGCTGCTTGGCGCGCCACAGGTACTCCACCAGCGGCAGTGGGAACGCCCCGTACCCCACCCTCAGCCCCGCCAGCCCTGCTCGCCCCCACGCAGCACAGTGGGGCAGAGGAGCACGGCATGAGGCGAGCAAGGGGGCAGAGGAGCACGGCATGAGGCGAGCAAGGGGGGAATTCGAGAGTAGGCAGCAATGAGAGGCAGCAAGGAGAGGCAGGGGCACGGAAGCTAAGGGTGGGGGTGGGGGTGCTGACCGGCGCGCTTGCTGAAGGTGCGTGAGCACAATGAGGTTGGCGTGGCGCTGCACGAGCGGCATGGCGGGAGGGTGCGGTCGCTGAAACTCAATGTACGCCCTCGTCCAGCACCACAGCACTGGTAGCCGCAGCAGCTGCTGCAGGTCCTCCCACTCAACATGCTGGGCGCGGTGGGGGGGAAGTGACGGGGGAAGGGGGGGAGAGATAAGACGGGAAGGGTTGCACACGTGTCTGTTCGTGCGAGTGTGTGATGTGGGAAGAGGGGAAGGGGGAAGAGGGGACAGCATGGGGACGAAAGCCATCTGTGCACTGAGAGAGCAACGCACCTGCCGTCGGTGGTTGTTGGGCGAGGTGAGGAAGAGCAGCTTGGGGCGGTGCGACTCCACCGCGCCACCACGCCCGCCACGTCTATTGAGAAGTCGCTGCGCCGCGGCACTGGAGAGCACAGGGGGGGGTTGGGCAAAGAGGGCGTGGGGTAGGGGAAGATTGGAGCAGACGAGTGGATGCAAGAGGATGGGAGCAGCGAGAGGAGGAAACAAAAGTGGATATGCGGCAATGGAATGACCTGCGGTGCCCCCCTGCGGTGCCCCCCTGCGGTGCCCACCTGAGGTGGAGCAGGTTCGGCTTACCCGTGATGACGCGTGCGTTTTGACTATGGGCGTCGAACGGCATTACATGGTGAAGGTGGGCGGACAGTCCACTATCGCCTCCATCCCGGCTCCAACACCACACCTGCCTCGCTCGCCATCCAGTCCACAGCACAAGCGAGCATACACAGCACAACACACACGCGAAGGAAGGAAAAGCGGCACAGGGGAAGGCGGCACAGGGGAGGCGGCACAGGGGAAGCGGCACAGGGTGAAGGCGGCACAGGGGAAGGCGGCACAGGGGAAGGCGGCACAGGGGAAGGCGGCACAGGGGAAGGCGGCACAGGGGAATGCGGCACAGGGGAAGGCGGCACAGGGAAGGCGGGCCAGGGGAAGGCGGCACAGGGGAGGCGGGCCAGGGGTGCACATGCCAGGGGGTGCACATGCCAGGGGTGCACATGCCAGGGGTGCACATGCCAGGGGTGCACATGCAGGGGTGCACATGGTACCCGATTTTAGCCCAAATGCGTGACCAGTCACAATGCACTCGTGGGAAGGGGGAGGGAGGGAGCGGGAGAGAAGGGCAGGGGCGGGAGGGAGAAGGGGCGAGGGGGAGGTGGAAGGACAGGGGCGGGGGGAGAGGGGTGAGGGGCGAGGCGCAGGGTTACCGCATGATGAGGTCGATGAGCTCGTCCGCCCCACAGCCCACGAGCAGATGCTCCATGGGCACGCCACACTCCTGCGCCAATGCTGCCCTCAGCTGGCGGCTCTCCGGGTCCGGATACACGTGCGGGAATGATAGAGACCCCAGCGCCTCCCTCACCTGCTCTCCCATGCACGCATGCAGGCACGCACGCACACACGCACGCACACACACACACACACACACACACACACACACACACACACAACACACACAACACAAAACACACACACACACGCGCGCGCTGCGCGCGCGCACACACACACATGCATGCATACGCGCGAGCGCGCGCACACACACACATGCGTTTATACCAAGTGGGAGAGTTGCCCTACTGCAAGCAGGAAGGGCAAGCACGGCAGTGAGGAGGCACGGGTGGTCGAAGAGCACCCACGCACATGCACTGCCCTCGCCACAACCCCATCACCACCCTCACTGCTTACCGCACCCCTGCATTCCCCACTGGCCCCCACCCACTCCTCCTGCCCCCTGCATTCCCCCCCTCCCCTGCACTCTTCTCCCCCCCCAGGGCAGCAGCGCACCTCAGGAGGCGGGCCGTAGGGGTTCTCGTTGGCGTCCAGCTTCACGATGTCCTCCGGCGCGCGCCCCAGCTGCGCCGACAGCACCTGCTCGCCCACCCCCCCCCTACCCCCCAATCAAGCGCGCGCAGTCCCCCCGCCCGCCCAGGCGCACCAGGCAAGTGAGAGGGGCGGGGAAGGAAGGGAGGGAGAGGGGTGAGCGAGCGGAGACTGTGGGGGGAGGAGAGCGCGATGGACTGAGGGATATGGAGTGGGGTAGGCACGGCGGGCAATGCAATGCAGTGCAGGGCGCAGGTCGGAAGATGGGGCTGATCCGTGGCGATGCCGCGCCACGCCACGCCTTTTCGAACACGGGGGAATTCTGGTGACGGCACGCCATGGACCAGAGCGTCTTCTCTTCTGCTATGGCGGCGTGGCGTCGCGGCGCACCTGGAAGGGCGGATGGGCGCACCTGTGTAGGGCGGATGTGCGCACCTGGAAGGCGGCATGGGCGCACCTTCGAACGGCACGATGGGGTGTAGGCCTTCAGCCGGAGCAGATGCGCGCGCACAAATTCCGTGCCGTCCGCCATCGTGGCCTGCGCAGGGCGCGGCGCATCGGCGCGCGGAGGTGTCGAAGGGCCTGATTGCTGGGCGCGAGGCGAGATATTGCGGCGGGGAGCGGCGGAAACGCGGGTGAGCAGGGGATGGGTGAGCGGGGAAAAGGCGGAGAGGGGGCGGGGGGAATGGGGGAGGAGAGCGCGGGGCTGCATGCGGAGGCCGTTGCGGGACAGTTTTGAAAGGGACTGGCGAGACGATCTGCGGGAGGTTCTAGGTACTGTGCTCCGATATCAGCGCCCCCGCCTTCGGGAATCACAAAATTGTTCTTGTGAGGTAACAGAACATGGTGAACATCGGGTACATTAGCAAATTTATGGACAGCTGAAAAGAATCTATCATACATCTGATCATCTGATCACTTCAGTTGATATAGGCATAATGCTAACTCGATTGCACAGCATGGTAGACAAATGATCAGCTTACTGTAGGTGCTTACTTGGCTACGACTGGGATCATGGAGCACAAATCAGAATAGAACAGCTTGGGGCCCATGTGAGGGTTTGTGTAAGATGAAGAGGCCCATCCATGCAGGCGGCCAGCGGCAGCAGTACGGCAGTCAGTGGCAGCACAGGGCAAGTGAGGTGCACTGGTGTAGGAACACTACCAGGACTGGCATATCAGGTCATGCTTAACCACATACCGTAACCGCACCACGTGCAGCTTACATGAAGAGAAACCAAGGCTTGCAGTAAGAAAAAACTGCAAGCTTGACTACTTGAGGTCAGTAACACAGCAGATGCGCTACACTCTCATAGATTGTGATGAAGTCTGCATACACGGCCGATACGGTGATGTTGGCAACGCTTTTATTCGAGCGGAGTACATTAGGATGAATGTGGATCACAATGACATGCAAAGCTGGCCATGCTGCCATTGACTGCTGCCCCCTTGGCTTGCTGCCTGCCTCTGTTAGGCGGTGGAGCAGCAGTGTGTGGAGGATGAGTGTGTTGTGGAGGCCATGAGGGGGCCAGCACCCATGAAGCAAGCAACGTCAGGCCAGCCCACTGTTTGTGCTCCTGCGTGGACCTCACCATCTGCCTCTCACAGCTGCTCTGCTTTCCCACCCCCTCGCACAATGCGTCTTGTCGTCACCCCTCACTCCCACTCCCTTCGCCCTCTCGTCATCCCCGCCTTCCCCCCTTCCTTCGCAGCCTCCTCGCCCTTTCCCCGTCCGCTCCCAGCACTGCGCGCCAGTCACTCGCCCTTGCCGCGCTGCTCCCAAGCCAGCGTCGCCAGCACCGTCGCATGCAGGCTGCGCGTCGCCCGTCGCCACCACGGGGCACTCGCCCACCCAGTTCCTCCGCGCGCAGCGACGCCAGCCGCAGCTCGCGCCCGCGCCAGTCGGTCATGCGCCCGCCCGCGCCCGCCACAATGGGGACGCACGAGCGAGGTAGTCCCAGGGCTTGACGCCGAACTCCGCGCCACGTCCACGAACCCGCTCGACAGCAGCCCGAACGCGTTAGCAGTCGCACCCGTTAGTTCGCCCTTGCGCGCACCGCTCTCTTCACCGCGCGGAACGCCTTCGCCGCTGGCGCCGGGGAAGAGGTCCGGCGACGTGGTGTACACGTACGCGTCGCGCAGATCGGCGCAGCGGCGCGTGGCGACCGGGACGCCGTTGAAGGTGGTGGGGCGGCCAGCAACGCCGACCCATCGCTCGCGCAGCACGGGCTGCTCGAGCACGCCCAGCACGGGGCGGCCGCGGTGCAGCAGCGCGACGAGCGTGCCGAAGAGCGGCTTGCCCGTGATGAAGCTCGCCGTGCCGTCGATCGGATCGATCACCCACACCCACTCGCACTCGCTCTCCCACCCGCCCTCGCCCTCTCCCCCCGCTGCGCCCTCCCCAGCGTCTCCCGCCCGCACGGGCCCCTGCAGCCCCTGCTCCTCGCCCAGGATGCCGTGCGCGGGGTACTCCGCGCGGATCAGCGCCGTTATCGCCGCCTCCGCCGCGCGATCCGCCGCCGTCACAGGGCTCTCGTCCGCCTTCAGCTCGATGCCGATTGGCTGGCGGAAGAACGGCGGAACGACCTCGCGCGCGGCGTCCGCCAGGCGGTGCGCGAACTGCACGAGGTGCTCGGGAACCGGGGCGGGTGGCGCAGGCATGGCGGAAGCGGAAGGGACGGCCGGGGATTGGCGCGCGGTGCGAGTGCTGAAGATAGGGCGGGCGTGTAATCTGAGCGGCAAATGGCAGAATGCGGGGCGCGAGGAGAGCGTGGGGGCGAGTACAGGCGTTAAATGGAGAGTCGCGGGCGGGGTGACGCTTTGGTGCGTGGGTGGCGCGGGACGAATGAGGGGGTGCGGGCGAAGGGAAGCCATGGAGGTGCCTGGGATGGGGTGGTGGCGAAATGCGAATATTCGAGATTCCTAGTATTCCCTTGGGTTGGCTGGCGCAGGGCCTCGGTGTTCCCTTTGATGCTCCACGCTTCAACTCCTGCCTCTCGTGCTGTGTGTCCTCCATTTCGGATAAAGAATCTATCTGATGTTTCGATGTAGGAAAGTGCCTGAATTGATTTATATAATGTCAAAACAACTTTACAACGTGGATTTTTGACCATGCAGATCGGGCGCAAATTCCCCACATCGGCAAAATCCCCCCCACCTGCCAAATTCCCCCGCCAGCCAAATTCCAATTTCCAAACCCCCCAATGCGCCAACTCGCAAACTCACCATCGCTATCTCGCTGTCGCGCCGCCCTAAGACCGCCCCGCACACTTTTCCTCCCGCGCCGCCATGGCGATACCTCTGCGCGTTTCGCGGCCCCCCCTTCCCTGCCACCGCTCGTCGCCCGAGCACTCCTCACCTCTCCAACCGCGCTCTCCGCGGCGCCTCCTCTGCGCCTAACCGCTGCGCTCACCACAGCGCCTGCTGCCCTCCGCACAGCGCTCCCCCCAGCCACATCACCGGCCGCCCCGCCTCGCGCCGTCCGCCGACCCACGGCGTGCCGCTCTGCGGCGGAAGCGGCTGGGCTGGCGTCGTTTCCATGGGAGAACGCGGTGCCGGGGGGAGGGGCGCGGGGCGGAGAGGAGGGTGGGGGGCGGGGGAACGCGGAGGCAGTGACGGGGGATGTGGAGGCTGACGTGGTCATTGTGGGTGCTGGCGTGGTGGGGCTCTGCCTCGCTGACGCACTGCTGATGTCATCACCCGACACCAGAGTTGCGGTGATTGATAGTGCTTGGCCCTGTGCCGGGGCCACAGGCGCAGGTGAGCGGCGCGGGTGAGACGCGCAGGTGAGAGGCGCAGGCGAGGGGGCAACAGGGGCAGATGGTTCCACAACACAGCTGGTAGTGATGAGATGGGATGAGGGAGCGATGCGAGACGAGGAGAGGATGACAGAAAGGGGAAGGCGTGAGAGTGGCGGAAAGCAAGGGGCAGTGCGAGTGAGGGGTGAGGAAGTGGGAATGCAGTATCCCGCTGAAAGGGAGCATGCTGCATGCCGCCCTTGCATGGCGCACGGTATATCAAGTTGAGACTTTGACGCTGCATTGTTCTTCTGGCATGCTGGCAGGGCAGGGCTACATCTGGATGGCGCATCGCTCCCCGGGCGACGTGACATGGCAGCTAGCGGAGCACAGCAAGCGGCGGTGGGAGGAGATGGCGGGCGGGCTGGAGGCGGACCACCGGCGCCTCACAGGCTGCACGCAGGGGCTAGGGCGCATCAACACAGGCAAGGGCTCAGCGGCTGGGGCGCATCAATACAGGCATGGGCCGTGGACGTGCGGTGGCTGAGTGCTTGCTCACTGCACTGCACCCTCCCACGCTTGCTCCTCCTCTCACCCTTTCGCCTTTTCATGGCTGGCTGGCGAGTTAGAGAACAATCCATGGGTTGGTTGGGCATGCAGGACCGTTGTGAGGTAGGTGAGCTGACATGCCAAGCTTCTCCACTCCACCTCCCCGCCTCTCGCTGCCTCTCCCTGCCTTGCCGCACCGCCAGGCAGCATGTTGGTGCCATCACAGCCGTCCCACACAGCCCCACTGGAGCAGCACCACCGGGCGCTGCAGCACGCGGGGCTGTCCGCGCACCTGCTGTCCCCCGCCGCCCTGAGGGACGTGGAGCCGGCGCTGCAGGTGCCGGCTGGGTGCTCGTCCGCGCTGCTGCTGCCCTCCGACTGGCAGCTCGATGCCCGCCTCGCCATGCACGCCCTGCTCGCTGTACGTGCTGCAGTGTATAGCATTGAATGACATTATTCCATGCCATGGCATGGCACGCACTCGCCTGCAGCCACTCAGAATACCATCCACCGCAGCACGATAATGCTCTTCTTCCCCCCTCAGCACTCCCATGCTCTTCGTTCTATCCTCCTGTTTTCCATCCATCCGCTCCCTTTCCTCCTGTGCTGTGCTCTGCGTGTCTGCCACGCCCAGCGCTGTCGCCAGCATGCCGCATCGGGGCGCTACGTGGAGCTGTTTGAGGAGAGCGTCGCCTCCTTCCTCCGGTCAGCACCCACTGCCCCCTGCTGCCCCCTGCTGCTCAACCCCCAACCCCTCTGCTGCTGAAGCTCCACTCCTAGGCATGCTTGGCGCGCGCAGCGAGCTTTGCAAGCATGTGTTTGCATGTGGTGTATGTGCGTGTGTGGCTTGGTGTGTGCGCCTGTGTGGTGAGTGTGTGTGCATGCATGTGTCCAAATGCATGTGTACGTGTGCCAATGCATGTGCTTGGGTGCAATCACCCCCCGTGGGAGTGTGCAGGGCGGCAGGAGGCGGCAGGGTGGTGGGAGTGGCGACAGGGCAGCGGAGGGTGGTGGCAGCACAGGCGGTGGTGGTGGCGACAGGCACGTGGTCGTCGGGCTTCATTGCCCACGCCCTGCTCCACACCGCCCCTGCCTCCGCCACCACCGAGCAAGCCTCTCAGCCTGAGGATAGTCCCAAGGAGGGCACTTCGGGTAGTTTGGGTAGCAGCGCAGCAAGCAGCACGGGTGGCGGCAGGGAGCAGGATCCGGTGGTGCCTCATGTGCGCCCTCGCAAGGTGATGGGTGCTCTGGTCACACACGGAATGCTGCATGGGAGGCACGAGGCTGCACTGCCAGATCTACCACTCTCAGCCCATATGCACACCGTGTAAATACCTGAACACCCGCACGTGCTGCACTTCTTAAACCTCCTCCCTCCCACCCTCGTCCCTTTTGCTGCCTCCACATCCCGCCACACCTACAGGGCTTCCTGTTGCAGCTCAAGGACGTGCCCCCCGTGCTCTCTCTGCGCCATGCCCTCATGGAGTTTGACTACACCGCCAACTATGCCGCCCCCTCAGCTCCCACTGCCTCGCCTGCCACCCCACGGCCCTCTCCCAGCCCCACCACCACAGCCACCATGCAGCCGCCCTCCTCGTCGCCGTCCCCGCCCACTGCCATCTCCATGACTGCCACGTGCGACCACCTCAGCCACCTGCTCATCGGTGCGCCATTCTCTCCTCCCACTCCTCCAACCCCTGCCCTCTTGTTGCCCCGCTCACACACATCACTTGCCCACCCCCCTCCCACCTTGCACATGCCAGCAACCTCTCTTCTGCATTTCGCCTCATACTTGTTCCATGGCTGCTGCCCTCCATGCACACTACCCCCACCAGGCAGCAGCAGGGAGCTGGCGGGCTTCAGTGTGGAGCCCCATGCGCCCACCATCGCTGCCATTCTGCGCCGCACGGCCGTCTTCCTGCCCTCCCTTGCACATCTGCTGCAGCAAGTGGAGGACGAGGCAATAGCTGCTCGGGTGAATGTTGTTCGCACGGGGCTGCGCCCATATGGTGAGTCCTGCTCACTGCTTGCAAGCTCGTTTCACAGTCCTTCATTGTCCTGTGCATCCTTGATTGCACGCAGCCACCTCACTATCCCATCCACCTGTCTGTCTGCAGCACCGGATGGGAGGCCTCTGATTGGCCCCGTGGACTCGCTTCCAGGTGTTCTCTTTGCATTGGGCCATGAGGGCTCGGGCCTGTTGATGGTGAGCGCTGCTTGACTTGACACACCACACCACCATGTCACCGTGATTCTGCCAGGGAGGTGCTCTTTGCTTGCTTGCTCGTATCCCAGGTGTTTTGACCCCCCGCCTCACCTCCCTACCTGCTCAACATGTCGAATAACCCTGTGCATGGTGCAGGCCCCAGGCACAGCTGACATGATAATGGCATATCTGGGGCGAGGCACCATGCCTGTGGACGCCCATCCCTTCCTCCCTCAGGGGCGTCTCCTCACACTGCAGCAGTTGCAGCACATGCATCCTTGATGCTGCTCTCTGGCCATTGAGATGTCATTCATGTGCATGTAGGCCGGCTCTTTTGGAATTTCATCTGTAAAGTGTAGCAGCCACAGTATGTTTGTCGCTGTATAAATCAAATGAAGCCGCTTGAACTTCTACCTGGACGAGTGTCAACGCTGTCTACTGAAGTCTGCAGATTACGGTATGAACAAGTTAGCTGCCTATTTCCGCTGAAGCTACTACGTTCTACTTATCCTCAATATACTCAAATGTCCTCAGTTCCGGGGAGAGGAACTGCCAGTTACTGCCATGCCGGGTTACTGCCATGCCGGAGGGAACCATGGAAGCCCATGGAGTTGCGGTCAGCGGAATGCAGAGGCCGGAGCAGCGCAGCTTCTTGTGCGTCGCTCGGCCGCGTGGGGGGCTCGCTCAGCAGCGCGCGACGGGGCTGAGCTGCCTCGCCGCCTCTGCGTGCCGAGAGGGGTAGCCACAGACGAGGACGACGCTCTCGACTCTTGCTTCTTTTTATGTTGGCCTTTCTCAGAGCTCGTCTTGCGAGCTGGCTGAACCTGCAAGTGACGAAAGGGGAAATCGTTTAATTAGTTATTCACGTGTTAAAATGGCGTCTTTCCTTCGCAAAGAGCGGTTTCCAAGGCTTACCTGATCGTCGTCGTCACTGTGGAGCGACGAGATGTCGTTCAGGGGTGATCGCCGAACGACAGAGACTGGCGAATCAGCGTCGCTCGCGTGGCTCGTTTCGCGAGCGTGGGTGTCGCCGTGCGAGAGGCTGAGGCGCTGCGCGAGGGCGATGATGTCGTCGATGGCTCGCGGCACCTCGGCGTCGAGGGTTCCGCTGCAAAAGGCGTCCACCAGCCGTTCCTCGAAACTGCCGAGCTCCAAGTTCTCCTTGTTCTCGTGGATGCACGATATGCTGCGACCAGGGAAACAATACCGTCTCAGACGAATTTTCCAGGATGAGGAGAGCTTGATTAGGATATGATTAATGGGCTTACCTGTCAATTATGGGCGAGAGAATATCGCAATCCTCGACGGGAGTCAGGCAGTAAATGTGGCGAAGACTGGTCAGTCGGTGGGAACAGTAACGGAAAAGTAGTACCAGCAACAGGGAACTTAGTAGCAGCAAGTGGGAGACTGAGAAGGTGACTAAGCGCAGACGGCTGCGGCTGAGTAGTCGCACCCCCAGGACCTCCAGCTCCAGTAGTAACAGCACCCTCAGAACCAGTACCTCCAGCTCCACCACCGGGACTACCCCAACGGACAGCCCACTCGCGAAGCTGCTGCGGCGAGAGCGACTACTGCCGGCAAGGAGGGGTGGCCAAGACGGTGGTGCCAGAGGAGAGTTTGGTGCGTGAGTAGACGACACGAACAAGACGCAGCGACCTCAACCGACGCAGCTACCTGACCTGACTCAGCCACTTGTGTCAACGAGACAGTGTGGAGTGGAGGCTTGAACTGCCAAGATAGCCATGTTGTCGATGTCAGCGAGCCCCAAAGGCACGAATTGCTAGCGTTGAGCAAGAGCTAACAGGAGGAAGCAAGATCTCTATCTGCCGCGAGGGAACAAGCGAGGTAATCTCAAGAAACTTAAGCACAGAGAAACAACAAGTGGGAGGGATGACGGCCTGCTGCGGAGGCAGTTATGTTTGGCATGGATGGTGTTGGGGGAGCATAGAGCAGCGAGCAGTGAGTGGTGAAGGTGATGGCGGGCCGACATCTCAGCACCGCTGGCCGTCAACTTCGACTTGTCCCCTCAACGGCCGATGGAGGGCCTGCCGTTTCAACTTTCGGGCGAAGCGCGACGCCCTGGGACCCACGCGAAGCGGGATGGCGCCAGTGCAGTCGAGGCGGCTGGCGAATTTGGATGGCGAGTTCTGACAGACCAACACGCCAGGCCAATGGGGGCATTTCTCAGTCAGGCAAGATTGCGACAGCATGAATTCAATTAAATACCTTAATAAAATACACTTTTGATGACAGCTGGTGCACATAACAACAAACCAGACACCGAATTTACAAGGCCTTAAGCACTTCTTCGCAGATGGCTAGTACTCCGCCTGCATAACTTCAGCCTCCAGCAATAGCACTTCCATCTGCAACCATAACAGAAAGAGTGGAATTTAAGCACTCATTTCAACTGCAGGCATAACAACGGCACCAAGAAATGGCAAGCCATTTACAACCAACAATCTTACCCGAGTGAGAATCTTCTTCTGCTCGGTGACGGCTTGCTTGTTCTCCTGCAGTGTGGCCTGCAGGTCCAACATCTGGCTGTTGAGCCCCGCCAGAGCAGCGTTGAGCCCCTCTGCCCCCGCCCGCCGCGCCTCCCTCTTCCGCCGCAGCTCCTCCAGCTGCTCCCTCACCTGCGCCTCTGTCATGCCGCCCTGCACCCTCTGGCCCCCGCCCCACAGTGACACCCCTGTGAGGGCGCGAATGGCGCTGGCAAAGGGAGAGAGGCCCACTGACAACTGCTCCTGCAGCCCTTGCAGCACACCACCATCGCTGCTGCTGCTGCTGCTGTTACTGTTGCTGCCCCCTTGTTGGCCCAGATTCTCCCCCACCGTGGCATCCACTGTGAGCACGGTTGTGCTCTCCAAGCCCGCTCCCTCTCCTGCACCCAGTCTCACCACCAGTGTTCCCTCCGCTGTTTCTCTCCACTCCACTCCTATCTGTCTTGCCTTCTCGTCTGAGACTGATGGCTCAGCCACAGCCGGCACATCAACAGCAGACAACAGATGCTTCTGCCTCTCTTTCCTCCCCACTCGCCTCCTCCTCCCCACTACCACCAACAACCAAGGCTGCATTCTCTGTGGGTAACAGAGCAGGTGCTGAAGCAGAGGGTGCAGGTGGGGAAGCAGCGGGCAGAGAGGTGGAGGGGGGTGCAGGGGGGGAGGTGGGGGTTGCAGGTGTGGAGGCGGAGGGCAGCTTGCTTCTGATTGCAGCCAGCTGAGCCGCTGCCTCTGCCAATGCCTCCCTGGCTGGCTCACGCCCTCCCAGCCACCCCCACAGCGGCAGCACAACTTGTCCAGGGGCAGTGTCAGTGGAGGCTGGGATGGCAAGGGGCTGTGGCGCGGTAGGAGACAGCGAGGACCCTCCCACGCCACCTGCTGCCACTGCACTCGCCTCTGCGCCCTCTGCCGCCACTGCAGCTGCAGCTGCTGAGGGTGCCTGGCCCGCGGTGGCTCCTTCCCCCCACGGCCATGACGAGCGCCCCAGTGCTGTCGGCTTGCAGCAGCACAGTGCTCTCCACGCCTCCCACGCACGCACTCACTCGCACACTCCCATCTTCCCCCACCCGCACCTCCGCCTGCTGCACACCCACCGCCCCCTCGCCACCGCCCACACCGCCATCTGCCAGCAGCGCTGCCGCCAGTGGGTGCGCGTCGGGGTCGAGAGTGGACGAGGTGGAAGGCAGGGCGCGTGCAGACGTGAGGCCCACTTGCATCGAAGAGGCGTCTGATGGGGCAGAGGCAGCTGGCTCTACTCCAGCCTCACTGCTGCTGCTGCTGCTGCTGCTGTTGTAAAGCATCTGCCTCCCTACTCCGGCAGATCTCCTCTCACTCCCCTCCTCGCTTCCACTCTCTCCCCCACTCTCCCTCTCCTCCTCGTCACCCTGACTGCACAGCGCCAGCAGCAGGCTGACGTCGGCAATGGCCTGGGGATCCAGAGTGATGTCAGTGATGATGCCGTTGTCCGTCACAGGGTCTGCCACATCAGCAGTGGCACTGGGCTTGAGTCTCACCCCGCCCATCCTGCCATTCACCCCCACGCCTCCCACGCCCGCCCTACCTGCCCCTCTGGCGCGCTCCATGCCTCTCTCCACGCCCTTGGATGCCAGCCCCAGCAGCCCCCACCTCACTCGCACTCCGAGATCCCACCACCCCCACTCTCCCCCCCATTCCCTCGCTTCCCTGCTCTCCTCAGACTGCCCTCCTCTCCTCGACCACCCCTGGGCTTGACACTTCCCCGCCCCCCATCGCCCTGTGCTGCTGCTCCCTTGCTCCCCCCGCCTGCATCACTTTCCCCGCCTGCCCTTCCCCTTACCCACTGCAGCAGTGCCTGCGCCAGTGCGCCTCCCCCCCCACCCGTTTCGCCTTCCCCCATCCCCTTCACCTGCCGTGCTTCGCCTGCACTCTTCTGCTCGCCTGCCTGCCCCCCCACCTGCCCCCGCTGCTGCTGCGCCGCACCTCCATCTGCCACTGCTGCAGCAGCTGCCGGCACTGCTGCATCTGCTGCCGCAGCTGCTGCTCTCTTATTCGAAGCAGCAACTGATGCTGCTGCTGCTGCTCTCTTACTAGACGCTGCCGCTGCTGCTAGCGCTGCTGGCACTGCTGCTGGCACTGATGCTGGGGCTGATGCTGGGGTTACAGCAGCAGGCGGTGGTGCAGGGCGGGCGCTGGCAGCGGTGGTGGCGGGGGAGGGTTGGAGGGGCACGAAGAGGCGGGCGAGGGAGGCAGCAGCGGACCCCAGCACATAGGCCGCCGCCACCTTGGAGCGCTGCAGGTCGAATGGTAGCTCCACTGCACTGCCACCACTGCCACCACTGCCACTGCTGCCGCCGCTGCTGCCCATTGCTGCGGCCACCAGCTCTCTCTTGCGCGCCCCTTGCCCTCCTCCTTCTTCCTCCTCGCCTTCCCACCTGCCTCCTTCGCCTCCCCCCTGCCACTGCCCTTGCTCCCACCCCCTCGCCTCCATCCCCCTTCCCTGACCCCCCTTTGCTCTTACCCGATGCTACCTTCTCCCTGCTCCCCGCACTCCCATCCTTGCCCGATCCATTCTCCCTGCCTGACCCACCCTCTTTACCAGACCCTTTGTCCTTGCCCGAACCCGAGTCCTTCCCCCCCGCCCTGCCCTCCGCCCCCCCACTGTACGCCTCCGCATGCGCCACCACAGCGCCAGTAAACGCCTCCCTCACTACCCGCCGCCCCTCGCTCACCATGCCCTGCACGCCCCCCTCCCCCCACCGCACTGCCGGCCCCTCCACTGCGCCCTGCTCCCCTTCCCCCCCTCCGCCCCCACCCCCTCCCCCAGCACCCGCCTCAGCGCCTCCAGCACCACCTCCGCCCCCTGCCCTCCCCCCCTGCGCCCAGCGCCCCAATGCCCCCAGTGCGCCCGCCTGCCCCTGCGCCTCCCCCTTGCCTGCTGCCGCCCCTTGCCTTGACCCCTTCACCCCCCTCCTCACCCTTCCCTGCCTTCCTCGCCCGCCTCTCCCCCTTCCCACTGCCATCCGACCCCACACACCCTCCTCGCGCCCCTTCCCCCTGCTCTCACTGCCACTCCCCCCTCCCCCATTGCTAGCCGCCCACATCTGCTGCAGCGCAAACACCACCCCCTCCTCCACCCTCCCCTCCCCTGACCCCTCCGCCTCCTTCCCCGCTTGCTTCTTCCCACCAACCCTCTTCCTCTCACTCCCTAAATCCTCTCTCCCCCTCCCTCTCTGCCCCCCAAGCCATCACTAGCCCTTCAACGCCCATCCCCTCCCCTCCCCTTTTCCCAGCACTCCCCCCTTCTCCCCAGCCTCTTTCCGCGCCTTGCCCTTCTCCCCCTTCTCCTCCCCCGCCCTGCCCTTGCGCCCCTCCACCCGCCCCGCCACCCGCGCCTTCTCCTGGGCAGCGCGCGCCTTGGCCTGCGCCATGGCGCCCCCTCCGCGCCCCAGCGTGGCGTACGCCGTGCCTGACAGCGCTGCCTGTGTGGCCGCCGCCAGGCGTGACGCGCGGAAGGGCTCTGGCGCGCGCATGGAGAAGAACGCGTGGCGCAGCGCCTGGGCTGCGGAGGGCCGCCCGCCCATGGCTGTGAGGAGGGTAAGGGGAAATGGGGGAAGAGAGGAAGGGAGGGGGGATGATGTGGGGGGTGAGAGTGGGGGGAGAGAGAGAAAAGAGGGATGGTTGCACGCAAACGAGGATGAACGGAAATGCAGGTGGAAGTTGCATGTGGAGTGATGGACAATAGCCCAGGGGACAGTGAGAAGGAAGGTGTGCACGCGCATGAGTGCGTGCATGCATGGGCTAGGCCCCCCAGCACCCAGCACCCACCGCTGGGCCACACGGCTTCCTCGTGGTTGGGTCGCTTCCTCAGCAGCTGCTGCGCCAACTGCCATGCCGCTCCGCCTGTTATGCCAGGGGGTAGGGGCGAGGGGGAAGAGATGGTGGAGAAGAGGAGGCAGGAGGGGCAAGACATGGGAGGGCAAGGGGAGGGAAGGCAAGCGGTGAGAGGAGAGGGGAAGCGGGGCATGCGGTGCACGGGCAGACAGGAGCATGCGAGGCGTCTGTGTAATGGTATCAGCTTCCGTCTATCCTCCCAGTCATGGGGTGAGCGGCATTCATGGTGGCATGCAGCGGCAGCAAGGGGGCACGGGAGGCATGGGAGGCATGGGGGCGCACCATTGGCATCGAGCACGGCCATGTCATCATCGCTGGGGTTGAACGTGGCCCTCCACTTGGCCAGGTCGTGGTCGCACCGCCTCAACTCCTCGTTGAACTCCTTCTGTGCTCCCAGGGAGAGAGGAGGCGAGCAGGGGCAGAGGCAGCAGAACGGCAGAGCAACGTGAGAGGGCGAGGTGATGGGTTCGGGTAATAAGAGATGACGAGTGCACGGCGGGGCGGGCAGAGAGGCACGCAAAAGAGGTAGCAGGAGCAGGCAGTGGGCCGTGCAGCATGAGCGTTTGGCGCCCAGGCATGCGAGGGGGACGCATGCGAGGCACAAGGGACGCACCAGAGCAGACGCATTGCGCAGTCGCTTCATGCACAGCTGCATCAGCACTATGCCCTGCGCGGGACAGCACGGGGGAAAGGGGGCATAAGGGGAAGGGACGGGAGAGAAGCGTGAGGAGATCAATAGGCCGAGATGGGTGGGGAACGGGAGGACGGGTGGGGAAGGGGAGGACAGGCGGGAAAGGCGGCAATGGGGAGAGAGTGATGGAGCGTTGAGGGAGTGAGGGAGCAATGCACGGCGAGTGAGAGGGTGAGTGAGAGGGGGCGCTCACCGCGGAGTAGACGTCAAAGCGGTCGGTGTGTGTTGAGCGCCCACAGGAAGGGCGACAGCAGCGACGCCAGCGGGTCGGGCGGCAGGGGGGCGGGCAGTGCCGGGCGGCATGACGAAGCGCTCCGGTGCACAGTACTTGGGATCCATCACCGTCTCGTTGGGTACCTGTTGTGGGGGGGGGAGGGGTGCGGGGTGAGGGGGGGAATGGGGGGAAGGGGGAAGAGGGGGGGTGAGGGGGGTGGTGGCACATCATGAGGCAAGAGAGACGCCACAAGGGGATGGGGATTGAGTGCATCACATGGTGGAGCGCAGTGGGCACGCATGCCATGGCATGGCTTGGGGCGCCGTGCAAGTAAAGGCATGGCAAGGCAGGGGCGGGGGCCGGGTGGGGGTGGACGCACGTAGTTGTGGCCGGAGCGCAGGTCGACACAGGCGCCCAGGTCGATGAGGCACAGACTGCCGCGAGCTCGTCCAGTATCAGGTTCGACGGCTTCACGTCCCTGTGCACCACTCCTGGTAAGAAGGGAGAGTGACGAGGGGCGGGGAGGGGAGAGAGGGACCATGAGATGTGGCACGGTGGTGGCTCTGACAGCAATGGTGCCCTCAGGAACGGTGGTGGTGAGAGCGAATGCTGTGGGGCAGGTGAGACGGTGAATGGCAGTGTGGCAGGCGGTGGTGTGAGTGACTGACCACAGGAGTGCAGGTGCTTGAGGTCGGAGAGAATCTGCCTCATGACCTCCTGCGCCACCTCCCACTCCATCCACACCTGCTGCTCCCTCTCCTCCTCGCTGCTGCCCTTGCTGCCCCGCAACAACTGCTCTCACACAGGTGCACGCACGTAGGCAGACAGGGAAGCAGGGAGGCCAGCGTGAAGGGAGCAGCACATGTGCAAGAAGGACACAGGGTGGACCTAGCCAGGCAGGCAGCACACATTGCCACCCCCTGCTAAATACATCCCTCCACCCCACCCCTGCCTTGCTGCCCTCATGCACCTCACCATCCCCCCCTTGCCATACTCCCCACGTGACACATCGCCCCCACGCACCCCAGCGAGTGACTCACAGCGTCGTCGACGCCCAGCACGTGTGGCGAGGTTGAGCGGGTAGGAGCGGTGGCGCAGAACTGGTCCAGCGTGCGATCGCCCTGGTACTCCCAC